CCGCTACGTTTCAAGCTTCGAAGGATCGTCACGCGTTCATTGCGTAGCTGTATTTCCGTTCAAACTCAACTGCCTCTCTCCCGCGCGTTGGCTCTCGCATGTACTCCACTTACGCGGTGTACTTGCAGTATTTATTATGTCTGGAAGACTACCTCTCCTCTGTGGAATCTGACCTGGAGTTGACTTATCTTTCTATCTCCCTGCTGAAGCTCTTTGCCGGTTCTGCGAGGTTTCTGGCTTTCCTCCACCGTCAACTTTCCGTGATCCTCCAAAACTTGCAGCGCGCGAGCGATCACATAGGTGAAATGCGTCGACAGCTCCATGCAGCAGTAATCTATTTCTCCGCGCGCATTTTCCGTGCAGTTGAACCGCCTCTTTGCTGATAACTCTGTGTCTTCGCTTAACGGATGTTGGCAGTTTTTGTTTTTACTTCCTCTCCGCTCCTCCAAGTTGCGGATCTTCCTGCTTCTCAGGTCGCAACGTGCGCTTCGTCTTCTGAGATTGTAAATTATCTTTGCTCCGGTGGATACGCGTCAGAAACCCGTTGGGTTCCTGTATCTCCGCTTGCGAAGAAGATTCCCTGAATGTATACCATTGGTTTCACAGCTAGCAGCTAGCTGCTGTGGTCTACTCCATGTGAATGGAACACGTCGCGTTCTCTCCGTCCAAATTACTTCCGTCGGACACTCCGTTTTCTTAGCTTTCAATCATTGTTTTCAGCCTCTTACTTTCTATACAGCTGGATTCTTCCACCCTGTCTGTTTCGTGCTTCTTATTCTTGATGTTTGGGTTCAACTGATTGAGCGCGAAGTGTGATGTTTCCACCTTCCTGCTTGTGGGGTCTCTCATCATCATATAACACCTTCTTGCATCCTTGTTTCCTTGTGGTTCATGCTTCTCCTGCTTTCGACTTGATTCTTTCAAGAAATGAAGTTTTCTTGTTGTTGTCTCGCTTCCTGCTGCCACCTCGGCCCAATCCACACACAGCTTCCTTTCCTGCGATCGGAGCGATCGCGCTGGCGTATTCGCTATACCATGGCCTGTGTGTGTTTGTTTTTACCCTTCCCCTTTCAAGCCTTGGTTTTCTCTTCTTATGTCGTGGTCTACTCAGAGACGCGCAGCCGCGGGTGTCCCAGCTGCTCCATCTGCGGACGACGTCGCGTGTTCTCAGCTGGGGGTTCCTCGGGGATCTCGATCTCGATCTCGGAGTTTTCTGCATCGATTGCAAGCGCACCGCCGCGCTGCTCCCGTTCAACTTCCCTCGCGATCTCGAGACACGCGCAGCCATTCTCCTCCTCCAGCAGATAGCACTGCGCCGCCTCCAATCACTCACTCCTACCTGGAGAAGTTGCTGCGACGAGGTCCAGGGAGTCTCGCAACTTCCACTGTTCTCGCGGATCTTAATGTTCGTTCAACCGCTCCAGTGGGTCAACATTGGGATATCGACTTTCTCGTTTTTCGAATTTCGCCTTCTTGCTTGCCGTTATTTGCTTCTTTCTGGGAACTTGGGGGTATCTCGTCTAGCTTCCGCAAGGGGGCGTTTCCGGATGGGTTGGAAATAGCCGCTCATCCCTTCACTTTACGCGTTGATTGTTCGGCGCGTGTCTCCCAGCTTGACAATGCGAGTTTTGCACACCAACTTTTGGATGCACTGATTGCGACGAGCGCAACAGACAACCCTACTTTAGCTCGTCCACTACCTGGGGCTGCTTCACGAAATCTGAAACTTGCAATGCAGCCGCGAATGGTCACGGCTACCCATCTTGCGCAAGCTTTACTGCGGGTTGCCCCACCTACCAGCTATACGTTGTATATTTGCAAGTACGGGTTCAAAGTTGATGCTGAAGAGTTTTTTGATCGCCCCCTCATGCGTTGCCACGCAATACTGGAGCAAGAGCTGGGACAAAGCATTACGCAATCTTGCTGGGACTCGATAATTCTCGATTTCGCTACCGAGGGGTTGCCGCAGATTCTCTCTCTCGTCTTCCTCAATGGCGCGGCGGAAACGCTGTCGTGGGTTCACCTCCCCTCCACAACTGCATTCTCTTTGTTTGGCTGCTTGGGGCGTGGTTTTGGTGGCGTTACCTTTGCGGGCAATAGAAACTCCCACGTGCGAAAGGTCAGCGTGTATCCCTCCGGCTGGGTTCACTACATGAAAGGCTTCTCGTTTCCGCGGTTCCCACCTGCTGCAGCAACTAACAAGTGGATCGCAGGACAGAAGAATGTTTTGGAATCTATCGCCATAAACATGGCTAGCGCGCGACCGCATCGGTTGGGTGGTCTTCGATTTGAGTTCAGGTTGGCTCCTTCTCCGGTTTCTTATTTTCAACTGGCTGCTTCTTGGGCACAGCAGAAGGCTACGTTGGTACTTGGAGGTTCTGCCTGGTTAGTAAATATTTAAGCAACTTAGTAAGTACTTAGAGAACTTACAGTACTTAGCTACAAGTCACTTAGCCTACTTAGAGTGAGGCTACTTAGTGGACTTAGCTGGGCACAGTTAGTATACTTACTAAGTGATTTAGTGAACTTAGCTAAATCAAAAATGATACTATTTTTCAATAACATACAGCTGCAAAAAGTTAATGTGTAACATTTTTTGGTGACCATTGTTAACGAATTTCCCAGGAAGCATGGAACCGCAGCTCTGGAAGATTTTCAGCGTGTGTCGCCAAAAAGAACACAGTCTCAAAAATAAATTAAGCTGTCACAATTTCATCTCACCAAAAACCCATGTATGTATAAACAAAACTGCTATACCTGTGCCCATTAATGGATGATGCGTTCAGCGCGCAGCCCCTCCCCGCTGCGCGCGGTGGCGCCCTCTCACGACCAACCACGCAGCGCCTCCCCGCATACTATAAACGACCTGCGAGCACGCCCTGCATGTCTCCATGCGAGCAATGCCCGGCATGGATTTCAACATCATGGATTTTAACATCACGCACGCATACTTGTATGGACATGTTTATGTCACACTATAGCTGCGTGACAAAGCCTCAGGCAAGTCACGTCACATCAAAGCTTCACGCATGGCATGTCATGCCAGACAAAGCCTCATGTCATGCCTCACGCTATGGGCCATGCATGCTTCTTCCACGGCTCTGCGTGATCATTCCAGCGCAGGCAGCACATAGACGAAAGCCCAGGCAGCACCTGCAACGGGATGGGGATGTGTCATGGGAGCGTTGGACACGACCTTTCTACTTTTCCCTTGCATATATATATATAGCACCATTGCGCAATGCATGTATTTAAGTAGACATGTCACTGACAAATATATTTGGTTCTATGGATATACCGGCGGTATCTTTGGAAGAGCAAACTGCACAAAAGTTTGTGTTTGCAACCACAATGAATACAGCTTTTGCGCACATCCTGCGTCCTGCAATGCGTGAATCCAAATAGGTCACGCACCCGGAAAGGTTCATTCCCATGATGGCACTCGTGGCCATCAAAGCAGAAGCCAGCATGCTTCTAAAATTCGATGACCTTATAGCGGTCATCTTCACAACATTGCTCCTCGGAATCCTGAGTGGGACGTGAACATTTGTCCTCGTCTGTCAGGCAAAGCATGCCAACCTTGTTGTGCTTGCGGCACTGACGCTCATGCTCAAGCAAAAGCTCGGGAGTCCGCTCAGGTGATCCGATATCTTCCCACTCTTCAAGGTCACACTCAGCTGCAAGCAGCGGCACCCTGTGCGTGACCATGAACTGCTCCATCATGGACTCCGGCGAGTGGACGATGCGGAATTCTCGGACACAGCCATCTTGCCTGCACTTCCACGTCTCCTCAGAATGAGGACAAAAGCCGCGTGCGTTCATATGTGTGTATTTAACATGACATACATGTGACGAAACAAATTATCTATATACACATGCCAAGCTCATCCAGAGGATTGAACGTGAAGTTGAGGGCCCGCTCTTTGGCACCTGCCGTGCATGCAAAGTTGCGCAACTGCAGAACCTGCGTCCCATCATTGGAGCAAAACATCTGCCATGAGCCTTGAGCGCCAAATGCGCGGTGTTTCCTCACGCGAGGTGGATGGAACAAACAAACATAGACATATGCCTTGAGCAACAAATTGCATAGACAAGAACAAACATAGACATATGCAAAACTCACAAACATAGGCAAGATTCTTCCGCGTAAGGCGGAGAAACCCAACATCCTGCACTTCGCCCCTGCTAGAGAGGTCCAAGCGACGAAAGAAAATCCACTCGCCGCCACGGCCAGAGGTGACACGCTGATACTTTGCGATGACCAATGACTCCAAAGCGACAAAGGGCTCGACGAAAGTCGCCATCCATGCGAGATCCGCGGAAGCATCCAAGGCCATGTTGCAATGGCAAACGCTTAGAAAGCAGGCAGCTGGAGCAATCAAAACTATTGCGACGAACACAATTGCACGCCTTCCAGTGTGAAGCACATATACTTGGTGTCATCTTGGTGTTTTACAGTGCAAAAAACTATAGCAGTAGAAGTTCGATGTTGCACTGTATCACATTGGGAATGACAGCGTGGCGTTGCTCGCTGTTTGTGCTCCATGCTGGGACATTCTCGCTGGTGAACACCATTCCAAAGTCTGTGTGTGAAAATATTATGACATGTTTCCTAAATTAGTTTCATGAGACGATTGAAAAAGGCATATATATATATACCACACTTGAAAAGTTCCTTCTTCATGTGGGACCCTGGGTCTCTTCTCCTTTGGACTGCTCTTGCGTGTGATACGGCCTTCGACAGGGCTCCGAGGCCCTGTTGCATCTGCTTCGGCAAAACGACCACCTTGGCATGAAACCCCTGTCAAAACCGCTGAGTGAATTTCAAAAGCAGTCCACACAGGTTTACAAGGTGCCTCATCATAAATCCATATAACATCATACAACCGGGTCTTTATAGCTGTATCTTCAAGGGTTCAATTACCAGCTTTCATGTTCTATACGAAGGAATTCAATAAGAATCCGGTGAGTACCAAATCATCCTCTTGACTTTCAGGCACCGCTTGACTTTCAGGCACAGAGACCGCTCACCGCTCCAGGTGCCCACACTACAGAAGAGAAGCCGTGTGGAGCTCGAGACCTGGACCACGGAGCATCGGACTGGAGCGAGCTGTGCGCTGCGTTTGCTCGCTCCAGTGGTGTGCACCCCGGTGCGCCGGTGAGCCCTTTTGAATATGCTCTCAGCTACATAGCACCAAATCATGGAAGAAGATGTGGCTTTGGGCGGACTATATCTTGATGAATGTGGCACATGGCTCACGTGGCTTGTCGAATGTGGCACCATGGAACAGAATTGGCAAAGGGACAACTGCATGGAGTGTATCTTTGTTCGTCAGAATGCATGGGTCAGAACTTATAATTCACACACATTGTCGCCTTGCCAGCTGCTCACCATGTCTTTTATACACGCATTCGTGAAACTATGATGCTCCTTTGGCTGATCCGACACTGAATGGCTCATGATGCATGTAAAAACTTTGTGGGGCTATGAGAATGGAACCGTCTTCTTGGTTCCTGTACACGACTGCGCCCCTGATTGCAGAAGTGTCAACAAACAGCCGCTGGTCGCGACGTTTGAACTGATTTACACCAGCTTTTTCAAAAGCAGTGACCACAGTCAGTTCACTGTCACCGTATCGTAGATGAAACTCAACCCGGCCAATCATCATGGGTTCGGAAATTGCGACAATATCATTGCAGTGCGCACGCTTTGCGGTCACAGCAGCAAGAAGCGGATGCACTAAGAAAGGAATACCAAAATGTTCCATGAACGCCTTGCTCATGGCCTGCGCTGCTGGCTTGAACTCGTCAGCTGATTCTTGAGCGAGATCATGCAAATGGGTCAGGGTGACTTCACGGAGAACCGACCGTTCCATGCTGGTATGCCCGGAATGTTGCTGATCAGCCCACCTGATGTTGCTGAGTGTGCATGAGTCATGGGTTTCATCTATTTGATCTTGCATGCAGTACGTGACATGAGCATAATGCCATGGACTTTGAAACAAATGATGGTTGTACCCCGCTACAAAGCTGCGGCCTTTTCATGATTTTGTGACGTCGTTCATGCACGAAACAACTGCAAAGTAGCTGATGACGGTCCAGCTGCTTGGGTAGGTGGAGAGCAAGATGATGTTTGGGTAGAACGCCCTCTTCGCCGTAGCATACCTTTACACTAAAAACTATATAGACCATGAAACATAAACTAGTATATGTCCATCACACCCACCACATATGCAGAGTCGATAGGTGGACAAACAAAATGTTTGAACCATGTCGAGACTCTTTGAAAGCTTGCAAATGACTCTCAATCAAAGGTCTCAGTTGTGAACCTGTGATGTGTCCAGTCGCGGCATGCTTCAAATTGTCAAGTACATCACAACAACGCAAATAGGAGTTCAGACCCAGCTGCAATTCTTCAGGGGCATCCTGGACCACGTGCTGGACAAATGCACGGATCACAGGGTAGATGGCAAATGTCTCAGCGCTTCCACACTTGAAGTCTGAGTCAGCATCTCTCTTCTTTTGGAACACTAGCCGCGCCGGACATGAGGCGCCACCATGAATGTGTGGCCAGATGAACGACCCGCAAAACTGATGCAATTGAGCTTGCCTGTAGCCATGCCGACGCAAGAGGTCTAGCAACAAGTTCACCTCTTTGTGCCATATCCCAGCCACCATGTAGACATGCATGGGGTCATAACACATTTGAGTGATTGGCTTAAGTGTTTCTCTCAGCTGAACATCCAGCAGCGCGCCCGATGGACAATAATTGAACCCCAGCCGCATCTCCTCATCCTTGAACTGCCCGTTTGGCAAGACTGCAGCCAACCCATGTAAGTGATCCACTATTTGCCACACACTTCTGTCGGAGTGCAGAACAAATTTGGAGCTATCGTGCTCAGTATGCAGAATGAAGCGTCCAAGTGGATGAGGCGCGTACCTTCGGGACACTGTTGTTTGGCAGCTCATACAAAGCATCTTGCCTGATGCGCCTTTGCAGTCAAAGGCTTGTTTCAAAGCTGCTTCGTCCGCGACGATGTAACCAAGTGAAAAACACAGAACGTGGCTCGTGTTGCCAACCCACACTTGGATACCATGCTCAAAGTTGCACGCGTCACCAAAGAACAGCTTGATGCATGCCTTGAACAATTGGGACACGCCTCCCTTCAGTTGGTTAGCAACATCTGTTCGCACACAGGTTAGCACGCACCATGCGTGTTCTTGCGCCAAGTTGAAACCACCGAACTCCTTGACAGAGAAATAGATGCACTGCAGCTTGCGTCTATTGTGCACTTTCAATTGGTTGCCAGGGCTCACCTGGTCCATATACAACATGAGGGTCCATTTGTGCCTAACGTCATTTGGAAACTGTTCCATTGCAGCTTTGAAGAGGCTTTGCATTCGAGGACATTCTTTGGAAGCATGGTGCAGTAGCGCAGCTGGATTCACGTATGACAATGACAGCTTGGAGCCGTCGTCCTTTTCAACTTCAAAGACTTGCAGCAAATGCCCATATGGAGTGTCCACGTTCACCGCCTCATCTCTGCGTCGTTTCACCGTGGATCTGGATGTGTGTTGAGGCAACGCACCGGATTCCTTAACTGCCTGCAGCACCTCAGCCAATGCGTTTTGGCTAATGAAGGTTTTGCGCCCAATCTTGGACACGTCCAAAGACATATACTGCGCAAAGGCGAGTCAAATCACTGACCCGCACCTTGCTGCACAGCGAGCTGAGCCCGCATGGCAACCGTTGGTATGTAGAATGCTGGATAGCAGGTTGCTTTCTTCAGGTGTCAATACAATGTCTTTGTTGTAGAATACGCTACGCTGTTTGGTTTCGTACAAACATGGAACATGACATGGAGCCATGCTTTCTTCAGGTGTCAATACATCTCCACATGTGGGTCGAGCCATGCACCACACAGCAAAGCACATCACCTTGTTGATGTACTCCGAACACACCTGCTGCAGATTCATCTGCTGCTGATTCATCTATACATATCTCCATATACATATATACCTATATGTTAGACCAGGCAAATGTAAATAGTGAAGTGCACAGTCGACACCCACCAGCCTTTTCCCTGCGTGAGCATGAAACTCCAAAACCTGCAGTGAGACAGATTTCCAACCCTAGCAGTGAGCAGGCCAGGTCTACAGTTTGAGACCAGCATTCACAGCGTCTCCAAAAATCCTAAACCACTGCCCCCCAGGGCTGCGGTAGTGCTTGTCCTTCTGGCCAGTTGGTCGGATTCGTGTTTCCATGGTCCAACCACCTGGGAGCTTGGTGGTCTTGCAGTTGGTCGTTTTAGCCTTTGCGCCCACCTTTGCGCCCGGCTTTGCCAGCCTTTGCACCAGCCTTTGCGCAAGCCTTTGCACCAGCCTTTGCAGCAGGCTTTGCGCCAACCTTTGCACCAGCCTTTGCACCCGCCTTGGCGGTAGCCTTCGGCGTGACAGGAGTGACGGCTTTGGACGGCTTCTTCATGACTGGTGGAATCCTGGGCATGTCCAGCAGCACTGCATGCGATGGCTCACCACCCTCCTCCTTTACCACATCATTCTTTGCCTCCTCACCCTTTTCGTCCACATCCTCCTTCTCCACACCCTCACCCGTCGGAGCTGCAGGCTGTGCCTCCACCGCAGGCGCATCTTCAATTGCCCTAAGCCTTTTGGCAGGTCGTTGCGCAGACCCAGAGGCAAACGGATGCACTCCCATCATTTGCTGCATGTGCATTTGCATACAGCTCCAGTACTGCTCCATGGATGGCATGAATGGCATGGATGAGCGTTTGTCCACAACGCTCACTTGCGTAGTGGCGGAGTCCTTGCAAGCCTTGGACGATGATCGCAGACTCACACTTTGTTTCATGATCTCGGCCTCCTGCACTGACGTCGGCTGATCATCAGCCGCGTAAGCTGTCGCAAACCATTCGAGTCTCCGAGGGTCGTCTGGAAATTCAGTGAGGTGGGTATCGACTATAACTTGTTTGTCCTTCAGCCGTGTCTTCAGGTCCCGAACGATGTGTAACGAATCCATGTGGTCCCTGACTTCCAAACCACACGCTGCGGCAGCCTTGACAATGGGCCTCCAGCAGCGCTCAAATGGAAGGTGCAATCCGACGCGTTGCATTCTGGTGGCAATGCCTCGCATACATTGCGTTTCGTGTATGAGTGAACAAGCAAACGCAGAGAGTGACCCTGAGGACAACAAAACAGAAACTCAGTGCAATAAATGTATCAAGGCTACAGTCCAGCTTGCAAGCTAGTGTAGTTGAGGTGTCGGGGAGAATGCTGACATCATTCTCACTGAAGTAGTTGCAAAATGTATCTATCTTCTGACCTGGTCTGCGGCGTTGCGTCGGTCCGTCCGGTGAGGTGCTGGCAAGCAACCGGGAATTGATCCACTCACTCAATTCTTCTTTTTGCGCATCAGTCCATGGGCCAGAGCTAACCATGCCGATGAACGACTCGGCTTCAGCCGGAGAGCATGTCAGACCCACTCGAGGCTTGATGTTGTTGACGTGCCCCTTCATCAGCCGTTCCAGACCAGCCTTGTCTACAAGTTTCTTCTGAGACTCAAGGAAGCATGTGATCCCTTTGATCTCGTCCAAAAGCTTTACGAAACTCATGGCTAGCAAGCAGAAGCACCAACCTTATACCTATGTTCGAACCACATGATACTACAGGATATAGGGTCACGTAGACATGCGCCAAACCAAAAGACATGCAGCTATACTGTCGGCAGGGCTTTGCTCGCTGTGGTTGCCATGCGGGACACTGCTCGCTGGCACACTGCACACGAAGGCTTGGGCGATTCATGATTCTTCTCCATGTAGTGTGGGGCTGCAAAGGCTGGGATGATTCATGTTTTTTTCCATGTAGTGATTCAAGTGTCTTCTCCGTGCAATGTGGGACTGCACACGAACGTTTGAGTGATTTTTTTTCACGAGGGCCACGCGTATATAGGTTATCTACACATATCATTCCTCCACCTCACTCGCAACAGCAGCCACTCAGTCTTCATGCTCCTCATGACCTCCCCCACCTTCTCCAGCGTGAGGATCACGACTAGCTTTGGCGCGTCGCTTTGGAGTACGCTTTGGAGCACGCCGTCGTCTCTTCTTAGTAGGGGAATTCGGGTCCTCATCGGGACTCGCGGCAATAGCTTCCAGGACCCACCTGACATTCGCCTCTGTGAGCTCCACAAAGACGTCACCCTTCAAATGAAAAGCCATCTTCAGTGTCAACATGTTGCCAGATTGATCGGGCACTTGGACATCAACGCATTGACCACGGATCAACCACTCATCCCCTTCACGTGCAGGGCGAAAGGTATGGTTCTCTGCAGGGGTTTCTCCAGCATCCCGCATTGCGGAGAGTAAGACATTGCGGATAGCCTCATTGCGCGCATCTTTCCTCAATCCCTGCACGGTTCGCCAGAATTTCTTTGCTGTGAGGCTCACCTTGCTCCTTCGGTTGCTCCTATTCAGGCTCTTCCCCATGCACAGCTTGGTCAGCTTGCTGTCGTACTTGCTCAGACGAAAGTATGTTGTAGCTCCAATGGTTTGCGTATCAGGCATCCAAATGTATTTCCCTACTTTAATGGCCCAGATTTGACAAACGGTCACAGCTGCACATAGATCATCAGGCACCTCCTCATCATCGGACGACATGGCGTGTGGCTCGTATACATACAAACACCGCCCTGACATGTCTTCTCCGTGTTCCCTTCCTCATATCTTCTTGTTGACAACCATGAATACATGGGGCATGCGAGCTCGTATTGCCCTGCACAGCCATGAGCGCGAGCGGTGCCACGCACTCTACCACCAAACATGTCAAACATGAAGTGTCAAACAATGAAGTGTCAAACATGTCAAACACTCTACTCTCCACAATGAAGTGTCAAACATGTCTCTAGCCAATGACTTTTTAGCAACATGGTGTGAACGAGTCACACACAAAGCCATCATGTTCATGTCTCAGAACATATACTGACTGTCGGTGCGCCTTGCACTGAAGTCAAAGTTCTGGAAAATCCTGCAGGCAAAATGGATCAACGGCAGTGGTGATGTGACAAATGACCCTGAGGAATTCACTCTGGTTGTTGAAACTCCTATTGAACACAATGCAAAACAAAGGGAACTGGCTCAAACCGCAAAATGTTGTTCAAAAAAAATGCATAGTGCATTTTTGTTGAACAACATTTTTGGTAAATGCAAAATTGTTGTTCAACAAAACTGCACTGTTGTGCTAGTGCACAATTTGTTGTTCAACAATTTTGCCATGTGCAAAATTGTTGCTCAACAAAAATGCACATTGCAAAATTGTTGTTCAACAAATGCGCAACAAATCTCAAAAATCTATCCACCTTAGAAAAGTTTTCGGAGGGGGTAACTCTCGCGATTTTTTTTAGATGTTTCCCAAAACAGTGGACCAAAAGTGTTCAAATACGTTTTTCCTAAATTGGCAAACCTGCAAAACATAGCAACAGTGACGGATTTTCTATACGTTGAGATTCCCAGAATTCTGGCAGCCTTATGACGTCGACACTCATGTTTATTTGTACTTAGGGCATTGCAACTATGAATGCACAGTTGATGACATGACTTTGGACACAGCGAGCTGACATGACATGCTTGCGTGCTGAACCCTGCGCACACACCCAACCCTCCCTCACAACTAGATCTTTTTGTGCTCACGCGTGACTATGCGGAGGAAGATTTCATCAACTCAGCAAAGCGCCTTTCAGGCACCATGGCTTCGTGAGCTTGCTTCATGAGCCAGTATAGCCCCACGCACGCCTATCGATGAGATATGGGATAAGCAACATGGTTGCATGTTCTACCTCATTGCATGTCCTTCAAGTTCTTAGACATGTTGTCTCTATATCAGCGGTGTCCATAATCAACACCCAACTATACGGCTCGACTGTTTTGAAGCTCACACAAAAGAAGCAGGTGCCAAGGCCAAGGCCGCTCTGGATTCCCGAAGGCCATCACATTGTGTATGAACTGAAGTAGTAGTGTTAGTGACGTAGCGAGTGAAGCATGTTAGCTAGTGAAGCATGTTAGCATGTTAGGTAGTTAGTGAAAGATGATATAGTGAAGCATGTTAGCTAGTGAAGTTAGTTACCAGTGCATGATGGCCTTCATGGTCAGCCGGCATGGTCAGCCTTCGGCTTCCTTTTGCTCCAGCGTCCTGGCCAGCGAGCCCATGATCTCCAAGGCGGCGTCGATCCGCTGCTCCCGCTCCTTGTTGCGCTTGGCAGGTTGATACTTCCGACCACCACGGCGGCGGTTGCTGGCATCGCGGATCCGCTTCTGGCCGCTGGCCCGTGGCACCGCCTCGTCATCGTCTGCCTCATCCGCTTCTCCATCATCCACCTCCTCCGGCTCCCGAGCTGCAGCAGGCGCCTCTGGAGGTGGATAAGGTGGAGGTGGCAGAGGTAGAGCAGGCGGCGGCAGCTGTGGTGAATGAGGCTGGTTGCCATACCCTGGACTCCACTTCTGCCTGCAGCGATGGCCCATTGTGGTGAACATATAATATGGACGTATCGGCAACGAGTGTCATGCAATCATGTGTGTTTGTTGTACATATGGGTGAGACCAATACGTGAACATGAGCGTGAACATGAGACTCGACACTGACAGGATGGAATGAACATGGACATGGACATGAACGAACTGGAATGCATTGCGTCACCATGAATGGACTCATGTCAGCATGTCTTTGCATCTTGCCAAGTTGCATGCGGTGGTCCTGCCGGTGCCATTGCCAGCCATCCCATGAGCTGGAGCTGGAAGACATGTGCCACGACCATGGCGTGGGGTCGTTCCATATGTCCTCCTTCTTCGGGCGCCACTTCTTCGGTTGCTTCATGAGCTGCCAATCAGGCGGCGGCGGAGGATTGATCGCGACCTCCCATGCGCGCGCACCTCCTCCTGCAGGAGCATCATCACCTCCTGCAGGAGCATCATCACCTCCTTCTGCTGCAGGAGCTGCCGGCGCCTCCTCAAGATCCATCGCCTCCAGCGTGGCCTCATGCTCTGCTTGTTCCAGGTCTGCGCGCATCTGCTGGATGGCTTCCAGATCGTCAGCCAGCTGCGCCTTCTGCGGCTTGTTGGTCCTCATCGGCCTGACCCTGCCCTTGATGACCAGCTTCTCCAGCATGTGCCCAACCGGTGGATCTGGCATGGCCTTGGCCGAGGGCTTGGGCGGCGCCGCTGGCATCTTTGGAGAGCTGGCAGCCATTGAAGGACTAGGTCCTCAATGAGAAGAACAACATGAAACATGAACCATAAGACATGCATGGAGAAGTCATGGAGAAGGACATGTTCTTGTTCATGATGTTGGGACGTGTTCATCATGGAACACATGGTCTCATGAGTCTCATGGTGTATATTCCCATGGTCCTCCATCATCCACTGCAGGCGTCATGGGCGTCTCATGGCCCTTCACGGGCGGGGCAGTCTCCTTCTCATGCACCGAAGTGTCGTCAGCGTAGGCTGTGGCAAGGGAGCCCCGCAGGCGAATGAAGGCGCTCGTCACCATTGGCTCTGGTGAAGTCATACAGATGCGCCTATATAGATAGGTGCGTGACATGTGCAGCGACATGTTGAGCACGTGGCATATATGAGTGGTATGAACAGACACGTTGGTCTATATACTTGTGACATGTGACATGTGCATGGTGGCTCGAGTTGACCCTGCCATGTTCACCCACATGAGACAACGTCGCTGCAGTGCTCGGGCCGAACACTCGCGTCACTGCAGTGACATTGCGTGGCAAGTGGTCCGAAACATGGTTTTGTAAGAGGTCATGCATGTGGTCTCAACGCAAGGCAACACACAACATGCAGCCACCTCACAGTATGCAGGCCACTCATGGTTGTAAACTTTGAACGTGCAGGGCCTATATAGAGTGAGAGAACCTTCACGCCCCTTCAACTTGACACTGGAATACACCCATCCCATTCGGATATACTGTCCTGACGGTGTGGAAGCTGCGTGTAGAGCAAAGCTGTACCTGCCAACAGCGAGGTGGTGTTAAAAAGGCATCGTGGGATGACTATCATGGCCATGATAAGCTGTGATTCACAAATTCAAATACCTGCTATATGAAGCATGTCCAGCACTCTGCGTAAGACAAAACACAATATGAAGGCTAATATAGGCTAACGCCATTCTTTGGAGCTTGCAATGTACACTGACAGAAAGCAACGCATGGCCAGTATATCCAAAACATATTGGACCTTCATGGTCACATATAGAAAGCATTGACCTCAGAACCCGTTTTCCCTGTGGCACTCGCAGTCAAACAGTCAGCCAACGTCTTCCCTGCGCTGCCTCCCTGAGGCCTGTAAACGCATTCACTGCTTTGGAAGGCAGCATGCTATGGGAATGGCCTTGCAAAAACTTGATGCACTGGGAAAGGAACACAACAGCGTCTCACCAAGCGTGCGCCCCTCATGGTGTCTATATACATGTTTGCATGGAAGCTGAAATATGCATACCTGTATATGTTACCATATGCTACCTATCTAGATCTCTTGTAGCACTACGTATCCATCTCCCATTCACCTTTCCCATGGCTCCATGTCTCAGGGTCATCGAAGTTCACGCTGGTCAACAGGTGGTAGTGCACAAGAGGTTTCAATGGGCGATTCACCGTGATCAGACCACTGTTGATGAGCTGTTCCTGGAACTGGCGCATCAGGTCCGCCAGGCGTGGTCTTGATGATTTCTTGCATAGGACCACACCATAGTGGGTGCCTCCGACAGCGTTCCTCAACAGCGGAGACACGGACTAGATATTCTCATGTTATGACACGTTTCCTAAATAGGTTCATGATGCGATTTGTTTTCGAACCGTCTTCATTGAAACCCACATCGTATTGACAAAGGCACCGGTATACCACAGCCACTGTGTCAGTGTCATCTGGATTCACCACGAAGTTCCAAGCCAGCACCAAGGTTGGTTGCATTTCCATGCAAATGATCCACGAACGTTTTGGGTTGACTGGCATGTAGATCTGAGCATCGCGCGTGCCCACACGAACGTTTGAGTATTTGGTGTATTTGTAGGCTGGCATGCCTATCCACAAATCATGTCCATGCGCCACTCTTCCCCAATTGCATGGATGGTGCTTGCGCCAGTCATGGTTCAGACTCTCGAGTCGAAAGTGTTTCTGGTTTATATTCACCCCACGCTCGAGGAACGTCCATTCGAACCCCATGCATCCCTCCGGTGCGGCTGGACGGGCGGGCTGTACGCCGAGCTCTTCGTCAGACGAAATGTCCAACGCCACAAACGCCATGGGTGTATATATAGGCAACCGCAGGGTGATGCTTGACACCTTCTCAGTGGCTATATGTACTACATACACATGCAGATGACAGCGAGCGATGCCACACATGTCAAAAAGGACAGCGAGCAGTTGCAACGCATGTCCAATCTACAATTTACATTCTGAAGTCCCACATTGCAACGCATGTACCTGACGATACCAGAGACTAAAAGTGACACGCTGAAACTATGCATTAGATCTTTGCATCAGTCAACAACCTAAAGTAAAGTGAATAGCACAAACTATGCTTTACATGGAGCTTTGCTTCAGTCATCAATCTAAAGTGACAAGCATAAACTATGCAAAAACTTTGCATCAGTCAACAAGCTAAAGTGACAAACACACACTATATGCTTTGCGTGGAACTTTGCATCAGCCAACAAGCTAAAGTGAGAAACAGAAACTATGCTTTGGCTCTTTGCTGCATGGAGGTTTTCGCTCCCGCTGCTCACTGCTCATACGGATGATCCGACCTGTGGCTACTATAGAGCGACGATGCTTCAACATGGACCTATGTTCGACGCTTCTTCGAAACGGGGTGCAAGGCAGCAATGGGTACAGTTGCCTTTTCCTTGAACCAAACCAACTCATCCCCTGAAGCCAGTTGTGATGCGTTCTTTGCGATTGGAACTTTATCCCCCGCACGACGGACTAGTTGCATGTTGCATTCCGTCTCATCAGAGCTTGTCCTCATGTTCCAAAATGGAACTGCACATCCTGTGGGAGGAAGCATATAGAGCGTGCACTTCTTCCTCAGTCATGCAACTGTGCACTGCACATGTTAGAGAAACATGAACAGGTCACGCACAACCCCCCAAACAATCTAACATTCACACAGGTGAGGCGCCCCTCAATCTTCTCGTCGCACAACGCTATGGACCCTGGCGGTTGTCCCTTGCCATCGATATCCAAATAGAGCTTGTCGGTGAAGGGCACTAGAATGCATTTCCCTGACGCCAAGTCTTTGTTCACAAAGCTACCCTTGGGTTTGCTGAACATGTCGAAACAGTCTTGATGAGAGCCTTTGCCAAACTCGTCTGCAATCCTTTGAAACCACTTGGCTTTGACCTGCATCACCTGCAACATGCCATGATATTTCAAAGGGTCGTCAACAGGTACAGGTGGTTTCTGCACCTTTTCCTTTTTCCATTGACCTGAAAGCAAGTCCTCCGCTGACATCATATAGTCCATGCCATCATCACATGTGATTACCACTTCCGTTGGACTCATGCTCTTGATACAACCGGGTGTCTCATCTTGGGGGGGGTGAATCCTGTCCCCAATGGCAAACTTCTCCTCCAACCGTGACCCTGATGTGGACATGAGCTTTCCTTCGTCGCTGAACTGCCGGGTCCTACAAAACAAATCTGCATGGTGTTGAATCAGCATCCATGAATGTGTCATGTTGTACGAGCTCGTGTAAATCCGCGTCCATGGAGGCCATGCATGCATGCATGTGTAACGTATACCAGGTCGTGCGCGTATGCCACGCATGCCACGCCATGCCATGAATGCATGCGTGTTGCCAAGCACTCGCGCGTGACCTTTATAGATCAACAACGCAACATGGTGTCTGTTTTTATGGGCGCTTATACATGCTATATAGACACATGGTCCTGGTGACCTTAGCTGGCGGTGGCGGCGCCGATCCACGTGCCGCCACAGCTTTTGCCTCCATGGAGTCCACGAAGGCCTGGTAGGGGGATGCGAGGGTAGCAGCACCACAACCCCGCCAGTACAGGATGCACTTGTGGGCTGCTACCCTCACATCGTCCGCAGGAGTGTACACCGCGTGAGGCTTCGCCTTCGTCTTGCCCAACACCGACACCACTCCTTCAACTTCAAAACATCCAAGACCTTCATCCACCTGGTGCACCGACAACGTAGGAACACCTTTGGCAATTCCAGTGAGTTCCAACAGGATGCGTTCAAAGGTCTGCACCTTGGCCAGCATTTCCTTGGCAGTCAACGACTTCCTGATGTTACCGGCTGCGATGAGTTTGTCATGGTGACATAGCAGGGCTTTCAACATCGCATGCCTCCACAAGAGACACTGCTCTTGGCCCTTCATCTTTGATTCCATTGACAAAGCATCCCACACTTTGCCATCCAGAACGCGGCTGGATTGGCCATGCGGCATTCCTGGGGCGTGATCTCAAAATCATGGGAGCGATCTCATCGTAATTTGGGCACGTGCCGTCCTTCATGAATGCAAGGATCTTACGGCAAATCTGCAGCTCTGTTTCATTTTGGGACACTTGTGCACTAACATTGCGCGCGCTTTGCGCCAACGGCACCAAAGTGTCAAAGTGAGCAACGACTTCAGAGCTGATGACTTCCCACATTGCACCCTTGGACACCGTCTCAAAGAAACATGGATCATGTGCGTCCAACATTTCTAAGGAAAGTTTTCCGCTGGGAGCGGAATCTTTGCGCTCATGTTTTGCTTGATATAGGAATAGTCGCAAGACCTGGTTGCTATGAGAACCACTGATTGATGCAAACTTGAGCGGGTCCACAATCGGCGCCAGCCTTCAGCTTGCAAACATGTGTGGGAACAAAAACTGTTCAACCACATGTGGATAAACTCATACGTGTTGAGCAGGATAAACTGTACGAGCATGATAAATGTGTTCAATCCGCATTGATAAACTGCACGAACATGACTATGAGCATGGCCTCATGTGCGAGCATGACGATGAGCGTGGCATGACATCAAAGATCAAAGCTATATAACTACAAGTGACACTTGAAAAATGACTGAACACAACCAGAAACATCATGTTGGAGCCAGCAACCAGATCCTCATTGAATTTCCTGGTTTTGTCACCGGCTGTCCCTGATGGAATTTCCACGCAAATGCACCGCCCAGCCGATGGAACGTATCCCACGTCCCAAAACCTGTCCAGTAGTTGATGGACATGTCCCGCGTCCACACCGAACCCATCGCGGTTCAGCTCGGAAGCGCCGATGAACTTGGACGAAACCTGCATTTGGTACATCAGGCTGTGATCCCGAAGTACCTTGTAGCACTCTTCCATGGAAGCTAGCAAGGAACCCTGCGAAGCCTGGTCCAGAATGGTTTGTATTTTCTTCTTCAAGGCTCCATCAATTGCTGGACCCGCCATCTCAAAGACGCTGCTGTGAACGCAATGAAGAACAACACATGACCATTCATTCCCAAATTACCTGTTTGACACGTTTCAGGCTTTATGATTTGCTAAGTTCCATGCGTGACTTTATGAGAATCATGAAAAACATGGATGCTGCGAGCCAATGCCCTGCAGGCACGGATGTTGCGATCATGCACCGCAACATCCATACATGACCGTGCATGACCATCAACGAATCAACTTTCCACCTGTAAATCTTCCAAACACTGCATAAAACCGAAAACTGGCAACACCCTCATGACCGGAATACGGCGCATCAAACTTGCAAGACATATATGGAACATGCCAACTGTCGAAATTGTTGCCGGTCGCACTTCGACAGCGCCACGCAAAGGCAAACGAATCGAAGTCCCTCGGCGGCCTGAGCCAGCGAGTGACGCTGACAAACACATCCACACAATCTACGAGACAAGCGCGAAATCTGAATCAAACACCTTGGGAAATGTTCAACCTGCATGGAGAATGAACAACTCTATCAGTCAGTATATACTGGCACTCCATGGTCGGCTTATATATCTCCCTACTTTTGCCAGCGCTGAAATGATTTCAACATCTTTCCGCGACGATAAAAGCATCTGTGTGTACATACCACGTTCACTTGCGGTCTGAGGCCCCACGCCATGCCTCCGCGTTCTCTGCAGCGGTAAACATCTGGTTCTATAAACAAAGCCAGTTCAACCAAAGAACACCGCGTGTGTTTTTTCAGAAAGTGGGCCCACAAAAACACATTGAATTAGAAACACAAATAAAATTAACATGTGTTCTACGATATGTTCAAGCAATGTCAGCAACACATCGATGCAAACCAAAGCCCATCCATGACCGACCAGCGAGTCGCAAAGTTAAAACATTCTCAATATATGTGAGCAGGCCTTGGCAACCCAACCAAAGCCAATCCATGACCAGCGAGTTGCAAAGTTCAAACATTTTCAATATGTGAGCAGGGCTTGGCCAAACAATCGGCACGTTCCCATACACATGGCCATCCGCACGTTGACAATCCCTATTCCATTGAGAAACCTCGATGTGTATTTGGTTATGACATGTTTTATAGAGTCCCGCGTGGTACACAAGTCAGCATGACCGTGCCACACGTGGAACATCCATCATGTTTTTACCATCTATATGAGCTATATATGCGCACTAGCAATACCCAAAAAGAACTGGCCACCACAAAACAAAGGCGCTTCTCCGGGCATGGCCGTTGAAATAGCCACAGCGATGAACTTAAAACATGATCCTATATTCCGATTTTAAAGCTGGCAGTTTTTCTACACAGCAATGAAAATCAAAATGCACTAAGTGGATTTGGTGCACTTAAGCTAAGTAGACTAACCCACTTAGCAAACTTAGTTTATAAGTGCGCTAAGTGCCCTAAGTACTTACAAACTAAGTATGCTAAGTGCCCTAATGAGAAACTAACTTTTATTCAGTATACTAAGTAGATAATGAAAAACCTAAGTACTTAGTAAGTTGAGTAAGTCGAAACCCACAACTTACAACAGTTAACTATACTTAGGTAACTTATAAACTAACTTAGCAGAGATACTAACCACTTTAGTAAGTACATTAAAATGCTAAGTACTTACTAACCAGGCAGAACCTCCAAGTAACCGTTTTGCATGAAGCGCTTTCCGCTCTAAGTTGTATACAGCTCTCACCTGTTGCAGTTCAGGCTGCTGCTCTTGCTGCTTTCCGGGAAGCAACATGCGCAGGAATTTGGAGCTGCGATGCGGTGCTTTTGGATTCGGTGGCACCAAGATGGAAAATAGAAAATTATTCTCGGTTGCTTCATTCCATCGGCGTTGCCCATAGCGCGACGAATTGCCGCGCGTATGCTTCACTTTCTCAGCAACCATGCTGGGGCCCCCCGGTGCCCTATCCGGGTTCCATACGTGTCCGCACTGGCTTTCTTAGGCTACTCCATTTCCACAATTTGCCAGACTGGGTTCCTCGTATTTTTCCTCTTGGTGTACCGACGCCCTCTGGTGAAATGGATTCTTTTGGTGTTCAGAATGCCGATCGAGTTGATTGGAAAAGACTTGCGCAAGAGCTGGAGGTTCCTGAGCTAGCAGACTTGCTTCCCCTTGTCGCCAAGAGGACTTTGGCTTGCTTTCGCTGTGGTTACTTAAGTGTGTGTTTTGCTGTTTTAACCCACTCTGCGCAGGACGAAGTGGAGAAAGTGTCGAGGTCTCATTCCTTGCGAGCGACCGTATCTCACTGCGATGGACCATGTGGATCGGCTTTTGCATCCTTTGGGCACCCATCTTGTTGAGGCAACTCTAGCTTGTGTGCCTCCCAACTGCACCTGCGCGTGCAGCGAGTTGGGTGAGTTAACCCCTTTTTACGCATATAACAGAGTTACACTCCTTCCCCTCTGATTTGGATCTCTGAGCGTCTGGCGATCTGCAGCCAAAAAGGACTTGCGGATATAAACGCACGCGCCCCACCTCTTTTATACTCGTATTTGCGTTAGCGTGGCTTCCACTGCGCGGTTCTCCCGCCAGTGGCTGTCTTCAGTACTCAGGCTTTGTTGTGACACTCTTCAGAGTCTCAGTTACAATGTGGTTTCACGTTCCATACTTCTACAATACGCTCGATCACTTTCAACTTTCCTTCTCCCGCTGCTAAAGGGCTCCAGCGCTCGCGTCTCGGGGTTGTTCGACTCGTGCGAAAAATTGTGTTTCTGGCTTCTATGTCTAGCCACCGCCATCTCCTGGCGGCGCATCAAACTCGCGATTCAAAGCGCCGCCGCACATCGCCTCTGTTCTCCATGTTCGAAACGCAGGGGCCATCCAATTCCTACCAGTCGCCTCCACTTTTGCTCTCTAGAGTTGTGCAATCTATGCACCGCACGCTCGCGGCTTTACACTTCCACTACGTACACCTTTCTTACGCTGGCTGGTCGACTCGCTCCGCTTTCCTTTTCGCCAGCACGTGCTCCCGTCGAGGTCACTGGGTCACGCGGGACGCCTTGTCTCTCATGGCTCACGCTGACGCGGGTGAAGTTTTTCTGTTTCAACAGTCCTTGGACGCTTCAAGTGAAACCGAGGAGGCTATCTTGGATCACTTTCAGCAAAAGTATTACTCTCGCCTCATTGCAACAGATGAAGCTTCATGCGCTTCTATCCGCTCCTTTGCTGGGGGCCAACTTCTACCTTTGCGATGAGACGTACCAGGCAGCCCTCCTCACTGACGCCCTCCTCGGCATTTTCAACTTGTAGAATGTACATATAGGTTCCATTTCTAGCTTTGTGCTCGTTGCGCAGGAAAAGGTTTACCTCGTTTATCCTTTCCCTTCTTGCTCTGACCTTTTCCGCGATTTCGCGACGATGTTTTCCTCTTATGTTTTTCGAAGCCTCTTTGTTTATTTCAACGTGTTTTACAACTTTTGTTCCGCGTGATTTCTCACATCACTCTTCCCTACTGACTCTCATCGACTTCTTTGTTCAGGTCTCGCGTTGCGGCTTACTTTCGATATATACGCAGTGCTTTTGGGCCCTCTCGCAGGGGGTAACGGCGGCTTCCGTTGTTGCTCTCAGCCATGCCTCAGGAAAACTACCGCCAATTGTTTGCTGTTCGTGCTGTGGACAGGGATTCCGTGGAGGACACCGGCAGACGTATCCGCTTCATTGCGGAATACTCCGGGAAAGCCGAAGACCTTCTGTCAGGCAAGATTACTCGAGCGTACATGTTTTCTCACGCCAAAGAGGGAACGACGCGACCTATTCCGTTGCAGTGGCGAGCTCCTTGGAATTTGTTTTGGTTCTTCCTCCATCTTGATACTGCAACGAGGCAATCGTCACTTCTATCTTTCCTCGCTCTACGAACTCAGGTTGTTGATATCGACCTCCACAACCTTGTCATCCTACATAACAAGTTTACGGGTGACTACATGAAGATTGGGCCGAGCAAAATGTTTAGATATATTATTTATTTCTTTGATTACTTGCGTTCCTCTGCGGTG